GTGGTTTAACATATGACTCTATTGCGCCCTCTAGATTATTCCAACAGTTATATCTCAGTGATGTGTCTGATCTGAACCAGATTTTGGGTGCGTAATTAGTGAACATTTCTAGACACATTGATATTGTTCATTAACATTGGACTCAAGTGCGCCCCTACATTATTCCAACAGTTATATCTCAGTGTTACATCATCCAATCTGAACCTGAGTTTTTGTGCTTCATCAGTGAGCACTTGAATCAACAATACCAATGTGTCTACATGACATCACTTAAGCCCCACCTACTCTGAGAAAAATTTGTTGATTATTGGATGACACTTCCGGCTTCGTACTGTGTAAGATATTAGACTGAAACTTTGTTCGCTAACTGTTGATTACCACACATGACATGTTGAAAAGCATAAAGGAAGTGCTTGTCAAACATTCGCAACAAAACAGGAAGTCACCATAACTCCTGTCTGGAAGGTCAGATTTGGCCTATACTTGTAAAACCTGCAGCTGGACAAGTAACGACATGGACGGAAGGCGATGTCGAAGATTCGGGAAATGCACCCCGTGGTGAACGTGTGCGGGATTGGCACGAGAGCATTCGCGATGGCGACTGGGTGGACTAGCTGGAGCTCCCGCGGTCGCCGTCAGGCCGGAGCGGCGCTTCGCTGCGAGGGCCTCCAATGCTGCTTGCAGCTTTAATTTTGTAATTGTGTCCTTTGGGGTAAAAATGTTGTCATAGTCAAATGTACTTTTTTAAGGAACTCATTCATGAAACAAGGTTTTGATGCATAGTGTTTCAGTTCCGTAGTATTTCCTACCCATAAGAAAACTTCTTAGTTTTGTGTGGAACATATCGCCAGCAGCACAAACCGCACTCTCCACAACGGTCAATAACCTGAGATACAACGTTGGTGTCTGAAGCCATTATTACCAGTCACAACTCAACTTACAAAACTAAACATTAGCTTCTCTTGCTAGTTTGATACTATGAAAAATAAAAATAATAATAAAAATATTAATAAAAACTCAGATGAGTTGCATACGATAGGCTAAGGTGATACAAATCTTGAGTAACCCTTTCTTTTTATAGCTTCTACTTAAGCTAACCTGTAGAAGAAAATGTGTACTCCCATCTAGGATTTGATTCCTGTCTTATTTAATCTTTTTTTTTCTCACCCTAAAGTTAATCATGGAGTTCCACCAGGTTCTGTGTTTGGACCTCGTCTTTCGTTTTGTAATTGCGTCCTTTGGGGTAAAAATGTTAATGTCAAATGTTAATTTAATCTCATCTAAATATGGGACCTAACTCAAGGGATGAGCTTGTCATTTTCTGTCAATAAAAGCCCTAAATTCCATTAAAAGGTATCTAAAGCAATCCTCTGGTACTTAGCTTCATCTTGATATCATGATAGACTGATCATATTTGACAAGCTTGTGTTAATCAAGGAAAAAGCACTCAAATGGAGCTGAGCTAAAGAAGACCTGGTGCTAAATCAGTTCAGCCAGACAGTTTCTTGGCACAGATCAAGTCCTGCAATCTTAAGGCAGCTTATCTTCATGATACATCTGTAATGAATGTCCCCTCTCTAGAAACTATTTCTCTGAAGAATCCTGTAATGTAAACACTATACTGAGAATTGTAAGACTGCATGCTGACTGAAATGCTGAAAATTACCCTCACTAGCAATCACAGTATCTATTGAATATATTTTAAAGAAGGACAAGATTTAATTTACTTTAGTAAAACCTGTGGGCAATTTGAACAAAGTATGTTTTTGTTCTTTCTTTAGAATTTCTGTGTATGGGGAAAAATTACCTTTTGTTGTTTTCTATTTAGGAAGTTATATCTGCTGAAAGTAAGTACTAGTTCTCTTTTGGGAAAACTGACAATGAAGACGGAGTTCTCTTTAAACAAATCTGAAAATATGTGCAAGCTGTCAGAGGAAAAATAAATGTAGAGCACCGAGAACATGCAATTAAATTTGGCTAAATTTACAGTAAATTTACTGGCATTGTAAGGGGACATCAAAAAATAATTTTGGTCTGAATAAAAAGATCAAATAGAAAAATGTTTATATATAAATACAGCCAGAAATGTACTCACTATAGGCATAAATATATATTTTTGAGGTTTTAATTAATCAATTCATTCAGATAGTTATCTTTCTAGGGTGAAATTATTAAACAACTTCACTGATGAAAAAATAAAACAAAACCAGAAGTGGGTGCACAAGTTTGAATTTGAAGTGGATCCATACAGGCACAAAAATGTACGTACACCTCTACTAACATTTGGTTAACGTTGCTTCACATGTTGCACCTTGACCACACACTGTTTCCATACCAGTCTACAAGCTTCTGCCTTCATTCTGGCTGGATATCTGACCACTCTTCTTGGCAAAATTGGTAGTTCATTGAAACTGGTTGGTTGCCTGAGATATGGCTTTTAAGCAGAGTACACAAATTTTCAATACGGCTGCAGTCAGGACTTTAGACCATTTCATAGGTTTAATGCCAGTTTATCGATTCATGGACCAGTTTTGGTGTGTTTTTGGGGTCATTGTCCTGTTGGGTCACTGAAATGTGTCCAAGTTTCAGCAATCTAGCTGTTGATTTGAGGTGAACTTGAAACACTCCATTATTCCATTCACTTTGTGCAATTCACTAATAACACAGCATAATGCTACTACCACCATGCTTGGCAGTTGGGTCAGTGTTCTTAGGTTTGGAAGCTTTGAGTATGTCTCATTACTGTGGCCAAACAGCTCAATCTTTTTCTTACCTAAGCATATAACGTTTCTCCAAAAGACATTTGGATGGTCTGTTTATTGCTTTTAGAGCAGGAGTTTCTTGGTGTAGGCACTCTCAGTCCTTGGTGAGGTAAAATTCACGTATGGACAATTACATTGTTGTTTCAGCATTTATCAGTTCATGGCATGAGCCCTGTGATAGACTAACCTATCCAGGATGTATCCCACCTCTTGTCCAATGACCACTGAAGACAAACAGCTTCCAACAACCCTGCATGAAGAAGCAGGTAAAAAATTAAAACTGGATGGATGGAGGGCAGGCTTGAGCGGTTGTTTCTGAACATTCTAATCAATTTAATTTCCTATAAAGGTGACAGATGAGTAATCCAAAAACTGCTGTAAAACTGTATCATCTATGCAGTGGAGTATGTGATATGCAGGTATGTAGTATACCCACTAAGCTTAAAAATGTCAATATACCCACTAAAAGGTGCCCAGTGATACGTAACATCATTGGGCACGTGTCACTGATACGTTAAACAGCAGTTAAACGCTTCCGTAACAATCTGTATTTACTTATCCAGTGAATTATTGTATAATTCTGTAGTTACTACTTGAACACGTTTTGCTTTGATACTGTTTTATAAATTCTATAAAATGTTTTTAATACAAAGCCAAATGTTGTGCAAAGTTTGTTGTACATTTATTCAAATATCAGCATCAGAGAAATTTGGAAAAGTTCAATATCCTTAAAAATCAAAAATAAATTGACGATTACATTGTACTAACTGGTGTACTTTGGTTTCCAAGCACAGTATACCCACTACAAAAAATGTAGACTTACAACACTGCCTCTACGCTGGCAAAAAATATACTACCAGTCCCAAATAAGCTTTTACTGCCTATTTAAGATTAAGATTGTGATATATAATTCCAGTTGTAGGCTACTGGTAAATAAAAAAATATGCCTTTCAAATTTTAAGTGGCTATTTTAACATGGAGGAGTGGTGGCGCAGAGGTTAGAAGACGGGCCTGTGATCGGAAAGTCGCAGGTTCACCTCCCGGTACTGTCAACATCAAAATGTGGGTGGAAAAGGTGAAACGCCCACACCTGCCTCCACCTTCATTTGCCCCACTCTGGGCCCCTGAGCAAGGCCCTTAACCCCCACCATCTGCTCCTAAACAGGTCTCTGTTGAAAAAGAGTTCTCGTGGCTCAATGAAACTAACTGGATAAATAAAGGGTAAATGGAAAAATAAATAAAATAACATCTAGATAATAGGTAACTATAGATATAAATGGCGAGGCAGCACGGTGGCGCAACTGGTAGAGCTGCTGCCTCTCAGCGAGCAGGTCCTTGGTTCAAACCCCGGTCCAGGGGCCTCTCTGGGTGGAGTTTGCATGTTCTCTCCATGCATGCGTGGGTTTTCTCCGGGTGCTCCGGTTTCCTCCCACAGACCAAAAACATGCATGTTAGGCTGATTGGTAACTCTAAATTGTCCCTAGGTGTGAGTGAGAGTGAATGGTTGTTTGTCTCGTTTGTCTCTATGTGTCCCTGTGGTGGACTTGCGACCCGTCCAGGGTGTACCCCGCCCCTCGCACAGTGATTGCTGGACATGGGCACCAGCGACCCCCGTGACCCAAAATGGAATAAGCGGGTAAAGATAATGGATGGATGGATGGATGGATAAATATGAATGGCAATGTTCATATTTCAATTATTCCCAAAGATTTCCATGATGACATTCTTCTTATCCACTGTCAACCTCTCCGATATCTCAAACACTTCTGATGACATGCAATGTGTCTTAGGACACATTACATTGTTATTTTTTTTTTCCTACTAATGTGCATTGGAGTTTCAGCTGCAGAGATCCACAGGCATATTATTTTTATAAAGAATATATAATAGCTATTTCCGGGGGGGAGATCTTCCTAGTAGAAACTCATACTTAAATGTCTGCAATACCATTGTAATCGGTCAAGAATGTTACTGTCATATTTAAACTATGTGTAACACATAGTTTAACCGTATTTAAACTATGTGTTAATGTTTTTTTATTTTATTTACTTTTTAATTCTAAATAAATAAAAAAACAGGGAGGGGACAAACAATTCCCTTAGTACCTAAAGCCATCATTAACAGTCACATCTCAGTTTACAAAACCAAACATTAGCTTAGCTTAGGTTGCAGGGAGTAATGGCGGCAAAGGGGCTCGCCCGGAGCTAAGGAAACGCCTCCTTTCGTTACGTCACCACTACGTCCACTTCCGATTGTGGGAGTCGCTGTCTCGATCTCTTTAGCTTTCACTTCCTGAAAACGAGTTACTTAAAGTCCCGCCAGTGATTATAGTATTCCTCCTGGACGGGGTGCTCACATCGAGGACGGACTGAAGACCTGTCCGCGAGGCGTCCGGGGAAAGGTAAAAACCGAAGTTCCGCAGCGACAGTCGAAGAAGTTAACTGCGCAACCTCGCGAGCAAGCTACCGCAGCTAGCAAGCGCTTGGGTTTTTTCCAGCTCTGGAGCATAAACGTCACACACTGGGAGCAAAGGTTGAAATTAAACCGACTATTTCTACATTACGCTCCAGTTTAGCGTACTTTTAAGCTATTACGTCGTTTCTTTTTTTTTTAAAAAAAAGCAACTAACGTGTCCTTTAGCAGTGTCAAAATGTCGCTTTTGCTCAAGGCTAAGTGTTTGTAGCATTAAGTTAAAATCCAGGTTTAGCTAGCTGGATCAGCAGCGCATGATGGACTTGCTGTCACATGGTTGCAACGTTTTTTTAAAACTGAGTCAAAACAGAAAAAAGCAGCAAAACTGCGCGAGAAGATGACTAAATTATGGATGTGTTGAGAAACACTGCAAAGACCACGAGCCTTGAGCAAAGTGAACACTGATCAGGGAGTTGCATTTACAAGATTGTCTTTGTTTTGGTGGTTTTCTCACGAAGTACAGGGTGTCTAGTTTCTGAGGAAACATTTTCACATGTGGCAGCAAAGTAATGATAAAAAAAAACAATCCGTCCCTTCAGTGCGTGTCACCAAATAAATGTGTTGGGTGTTTTTCTCATGAGTCATCTGTCCCTGAAATGCAGCAGCAGTTTTTATCAGTGTTTATCTGTGTGCCTTTATTTCCCACTGAGCTGGCATAAGCATTAGATAGTCAGGTTACACCCTTTGTGCCGCCCTTCCTTTTGTGCCACCCTTCCTGTGCCCATCCCTCACATTGAGCATCCACATAATTAGTTTCAAGGCATAGTGATCTCTGAGAGTCACTACGCCTGCTGAAAATTTTCCATCATAGGAAGTATTATGTAGCCGGTGTAGTATTTATGGTATTTTCTTATTTTTCAACAGACAACGTGCCCACTACATTAACCCAGTCGAAAATTTTCCTTCAACCATGTGTGATTTCCAACAAGTTGAGAATTTGGAGTCGGACAACATGATTGATTTCTCCCGGTTGAACAATCGCCTGAACTCGTTCCATGGCTCCAACCTGGCTCGGCAAGTCCCAGCCGAGCGTCTCGCCAGGGCCGGCTTCTACTTCACAGGCAAAGCCGACCGCGTCCGCTGCTTCAGCTGCCAGAAGACCGTAGACAACTGGTGCACCGGGGACACGCCTGTGGAAAGGCACAAGGAGGTAAATATATGTAAAGTGAAAGATAAAGGTTGTGTTTTAGTTACTGTTCAACTTTAAACAATTAGAACATTCTTTCTGCTACAGGTTTCTCCGTCATGCACGTTTCTCAAGTGCTGTCATCGAGCCAGTTTTAACCCGAGTCTTGACACACCTCTAACTAATGGTTCCATCTATGATGAAGCTGCGGAAGACATGGAGTACCGTCTGTCAACTGGAGCTGTGGTTGACGAGACCCCGTACCCCATGAACCCTCACATGAAGAGCGAAGAAGCCCGCCTTCAGAGTTTTTCCGTATGGCCCATAAATTCTCCCATGAGACCCAGAGAGCTGGCTCAAGCTGGCTTCTACTACTTGGAGGAGGGTGACAAGGTGCAGTGTTTCTGCTGTGGCGGCAAACTGAGTGGTTGGGAACCTGAAGATGTTGCTTGGGAAGAACATGCCAGACATTTTCCCAACTGCTTTTTCATACTTGGGCACGACACGGGCAATATACCACTGCAGGAGGGTGAAGAGGAGGCGCAGGAGAGAGGACGTAGTCAACACACGAATGCTCCTGTCTCTATGGGGAGCTTACAGGAGAGGCTCAGCAGCTTTGCTGGTCTTCAGCACCCTGTTAACCACGAAAGTCTTGCCAGAGCGGGCTTCTATAGTTCAGGTACGACACAGAAAAAACATTTACTTTACGTTGGGCTGCATTTTAAATCTGTGCAACCGTTTTCTCCTATTTCGGTGTTGGTATTAAAAGTGTTTTGTCTTTTAAGGGACGGGTGATAAAGTGATATGTTTCTGCTGTGGTGGAGGTCTGAAAGGTTGGCAGCCTGGGGAAGACCCCTGGGAAGAACATGCCAAACACTACCCAGGGTAAGAGCAACCACATGTGCCTAACTTTTGTTCGCTAAGCATATGCATATATATTTATGTTGCTTTAATGTCTTCATACAATTTTATTTAACTAGATGCAACTTCTTGTTGGCTGAAAAAGGATTAGAGTTTGTCAACAGCGTCCAGCTGCAACGACCTCAACGAAGTGCTGTAAGCAATATTCATTCATTCATGCCATATTCCTGATATGAACCAGTAATTTTGACTGCAAGCCTCAATCTTTATGTTGTATGCAAAAAAAAACAAAACAGATCTCCTTAACTATGTCAAGAACTTGAAAAATAAATTGATATGCTGGTCTAAATTATGTTTAACTTGGTTTCTAATTGTGTGCTTTAATGTGGCTCCAGAGAGCGATGAAGAGTAATTAATTAAGACACATGACTGTAGTAGAAAAATGTCACATTTAAAAAAAATGCTAAAGATGTTTGTATTCATTTTTTATGATTAAAAAATAAAAATTTCACTGCGTGGCTTCTTGTAAATTTAAGACGTACTGTTATCTCAGTTTAAGAAAAGCCCAAAACTAGCTTTTTAAAAATGTTGTTGTGCATAAACTCGCTGGTTTTGCTCCAGTTGAAGCCATCTTCATGGTCTCCTTTTGCACAGTGATGCACTTTCTATGCACTTCATGTGGTGCGAACAATAAAAAATACTTTTGGTCTCTGTAGATTTGTGAAAATTATTGGTATTCTCAATTGTAGTGGTGGCAGCTACGTTTACTTTACTTAACATGCTGAAAAGAATTGTGACCTTGTGTCTACTTGTAGATTTCAAGCAATCAGAATGGACCATCAGGCAATACAAATGGTAAATGTTCATATCTTTGGATAGCTCCTCTTGATTAGGAAAAATGTCTGATTTTCAAATTGCGCACATGGGACTGGATAAAACTCTTCTCCCTCCTTGTTTTCAGGGATACCACAGTCTCGGTCAGAAATGGTTCAGAAAGCCGTAGAGATGGGCATTGAAGCCAGCGTGGTGGAGAAGACCATCATGGAGAAGATGAGCAGGACAGGCTCTGGTTACTCCAGCATGGAAGCTCTTGTGGCAGATTGTTTGTGCGACACAACAGAAAGTGGAACGGCAAAAGAGCAAGGTAGCAGAAGCACAGGCTAAAGAAAAGTTGGCTTTAACTTTATTCTTAAAACACTATTTTTATATACTTTTTATAACCGTAACATGATTTTAATTACCGTAATTTCCGGACTATAAGCCACTACATTTTTCACACACTTTGAACGCCGTGGCTTATACAAAGCTGCGGCTAATTTATGGGTTTTTATTTTTTGACGGACTAATGAGCTTCATGCCACCAAAACATTTAGCTTCGTCACACCCAGGCGCTCACATAGCTGCCCGATAATGCACATCTGTCTTGGGCGATATCGATCAATGACTTCCTGGTGGACTACTGTATTTTTTTTTTTTTTTTTACCAACCGTGTTACAGGCACTGTTCAGAAAAAAAACATTTACTGCATTTGTGCACATTACCGATAAATCAAAAGTGTTTTTTTTTTTTTTTTTTACTTTCTGTGTAAATATCTCGTTACAAGCGGCTTATAGACAAGTACGGCCTATTTATGTAAAATTTTTATGTTGTTTTAAATTTAGTGAGTGTGGCTTAAATTGAGGTGCAGAAATTACCGTACATTAAATAACACAAATCTAACTTTTGAAAAAGAAGGTGAGGTTGATGGTTAAATTACTTCCTAATGGTTTTTAGAGAAACTTTAAAAAGTTTTCTAAAAGCTATATTTCAAAAGAAAGGCTAACATATTTTGAATAACTCTTTACTTACCCACTTAATGAAATCTTAGTCGTTTAAAAAAAAGTAGCTAAAGTTATGCTGTAAAACTCAGGAACAAAAGATGCGTGATTAATAAAAAGCAAACTACTTGGTTGTTTTTGGTTTATTTCAAACGTTAACTACCGGTATATACAGGCATTCATTTTAAGCAAAGAAACGGTAAAAGAACAGCCTACGTAGAATAAAGTGCACGAGTATTGCTCCACTCTTTGTTGAGCACACACGTCACAAAGGTGTTGGGAGAAGTACATATTGTACTGAATTTAGTATTTGCCCCGTTAAAGTAAATAGCCCCACATTCACAAATAGAGTATAATGTACAAATTCTATGTTTTGCCTTTTAGTCAGAGAAGTTGTTGCTGTATGGGGGATATCCTGTGTAAGGGGTCTAATGTGTATAAATGTTTTTTTAATCCCTTCAGAGGAGGACCCGCTGGAGAAACTGCGGAAGCTGCAGAGGGAAAAACAGTGCAAAATATGTATGGACAGAGATATTTGTATCGTCTTCCTACCTTGTGCTCACCTGGTCACTTGCAAGCAGTGTTCTGCGTCGCTCACCAAGTGTCCGATCTGCTGTGGACCCATAATGCAGAAAGTCAAGACCTATATCGCTTAAGGGAACAAACCCTGCCATGAACGCTGCTTTCCTTTGAATGATGTTGTGACGTCACGGTGGTGTAGCGGTCACAACGGACACCTCAAATAAGAAAAAGCTCCCAGGTTTAACCTTGTGTGAAGCATGTTTTTCTCATTATTTTCAGCCAGGCTCTCTGGTTATCTGTCACAAGTCAACGTGCAAGTTGAATTAATTAGAGATCTAAACTGACTATATGAATGAGTGAGAGTTGTTAAGGTTGTATCTCGTCTGTGTCGGGCCTGTGACAGACTCACAATCTGTGCAGAACCTGGTAGTGGAACAAGCTCCAGCTTCACTGCCACCCTGAACATATGGTGGGTATGCAAAATATTTGAATGTTGTAATATATAAACAAGGAAAATATTTTATTGTAAATACTTAAAAGGATAATATTAAATGTATCTAAAGTTGTTTTTTCTGTCATTCCTAATCGACACTTAAATAAATGCACACTAAAGAACAGCTCTCATTATGTAAAACTTTTAGACTAGAGGTGCCTTTTTTCCATTGTAATCCTCATACATGATACTTTAACAGCTGGACAAAGGATGTCAAGCTAATCAGGTTTATTAACTGTGGTCTCTTATTTCCTTTCATGTATTTTTAGAGCTGTTTTTATTCATAGACTAAAAATCTATGTCCTAATAATTGTAAATGTGTAAATTGTGAAAACGATTTGGAAATAATTTAATTTATAATCGACGTGCTCCAGTTTAGAGCCTGCAATGAATCGGTGTGGTATGATTATTTTACCATTCTGTCCTTTTAATTTGCTGTGTAACCAAAAGTAAATAAATCTTAATTTCCCATGACGTCTGTGAATGTTTTGTTGAACTGAAATCAATAGATTTGTTTCAGAGGACTAGTCTCACTGAACACATTTAAATGAGCATGTTCTCTTTTTAACGCGATTCAGCAATTTCATGCTGTAATTTTATAGAGGACTTTCAAAAAGCACGTCTAAATTAAATGGAATGAAACCTCTAAACCTTGGCTATCTAATCAAAAGCTGATTAACAAAAGCAGCTTGGAGGCAGTAGTTTTAACAGTACCATAGTATCAGCAAATTGATTACAAATGTTATGCACTTTTTTATAACCATTATAAAATTATACTCTAAATTATATACTATTCTTTAAAAGATATAATTGCTGTGACAAGCTTTAAAAACGTTTGAAAGTTCCCTTCACATGCACGTTTCTTAAAAGTTAGGCTGCAGTACCAGCCACCTACCGCTAGGGGTCAGGCTGTTTACTGTGTATCGCACGCGGCCGCTAGGTGGTAGCTCTGCACCAGGATTTCCTCCTCCCAGGTCGTCGACACACAACAAACCGAACTACGGAGCAAGCGGGGTGAGAACGTCCGAAACCGCCTCTGACCGCGACTTTTAAACTCTTTTTTACCCCCCCACAGAATTAGAGCGGGATTAAGACAGAGGCTGTATAAGTATAACAAAAGTTAGGATTGGAACAGGACTACATTTGAGAACCAGGTAAGTTAGCTGTAAAATGGCGGAGAGCTATCTGGAACTTAGTTGATTTGTATTTTGCTAGCCGTCTCGTTAGCCATGCTAGCTGTAGGGGAGCTCGGATGTCTGTCTGAGCCGAGCTCTCGCGGTACATCGCTACTTTGATCTAGCGAACCAGGATTTTAGGCACAACTGCGGAAAATCTGTAGTTTGCATCACAAAAAAACGTTTTGATATTTATACTTACTAATTTACTCCTTATATATTTGTAAACAAAAGTGTTAGTTGCTTATGCAATACGGCACTGGAACTCCCGAGGCAAGATGGAGGACGCAAGGACGTGATGTTTTTTTTCTCTCTTTTTAGGTTAGCCGTAGCTGTTAACATGGCTAACTACTGCTAGTTGTTTCCAGTTATTTTATTTCAGCGTCCTTTGGGTTACTCACCTATTGGTACAAGCGTCGCTTGCTATCGGTATGCGCACAGAAGGTAGAAGATGCCTCTGGCTAAATTGTTGATTAGCTCATTTTAGCTTTAGCGCGTACAGTAGAGCTTACGTTGTTTTTGTTGTTATGAATTGAGAGTAACAAACGCTCTTGAAAAATCAAGCCGCAATTCCTCGTAGGGCTTTGTTGGCTTAACTTGTTCAGTTACACACAGTTTGTTTGTGCCGAGTGCTTACTTCATCAAATTTCAACTAGCTGACGTCGAGAGAAAAGACTGAGCTCGTCGGTTCCTTAGCTGGTGGCGCTGTTAGCACCAGCAGCGCACCGGCGTCAATTTTGACAGGAGCCGACTGTGAGCGCACCCGCGTCGGCGTCGCTGGAGTGAGTTGAGGCGGCGGTTCGCGACATTGTTATTAGGTGGAAGTCGCGCAGATTGGTTCACCGGTTTCATTTAACCTCAGAGCAGGCACCATTGCTTTGCAGTGAGAACTTTGTTGTAATAGCTACTGTCCGATTTGGCGCCACTTTTTCAGTGTACACCCATAAAATCGTGCCGTCGTCTTGTGCAGTATCCCATCACTCGCAAAGAAGCACGCATGTAGTCTTGCGATACGTAAAATACTATTTTAGCATATAAAAAGAACACTTAAAGTCACAGTTTCGCGTTTACATATTGCATTGGTCCGCACACACGTCTTTCTTTAGCAACTAACAGTTCAAGGCATTTTTCTATTAATTGAATGTCATGGATGGAGGCCTTTATTTGCAGGATTTTATAAACCGTACAGAGAATTGTAAAATGTATGCTTAATTTTCCTTACTGCTATGAGCAGTTCAGATCAGTACATAGTTGTCAGTACTGCCCACTACTTCCAAATATATAATGGCTGGAGTTTGTTTGACTTCACAGGACTAAACAGTCTGAAAGTCTGTCTAAGAACCTTGATTTTAAAAGTGCTCTCAGTTTTCCTGTGCATTAATTAATTGTAGCATCACAAACAGGCAATACTTTCTGTGTGGCCTGCAGCATATTGTTGATGTTGATGGTGCAGTTTGATTGGTTTACATTGTGTGGGGCGGATTGGACGCTACCGTATTTGGCCACTGAGAATGATACTTCAGTCCTGCTTGCATGACGTTGTCTGTAAAATGAGGAAAATGAGAAACGGAGAACCAACGAGGAGAGGGCAAGCATGACTGTAGCTTTTGTGTCCGCCCCCTGTTACCATGTGAAACTTTTTTCCTCCACTTCATGCATGCATTAAATAAGTATTTGCTGTATGTTTTCTATTCCAGGTCACATGCAACATCCCCTAATTCGTTTATAATCGAGGAGCTCAAGTCAGATCTAAGTTGACGTGATCCAAAAGATGTTGCAGAAATGATAGCAGCACCAGAAATACACTCAGAGTTTGCCTACACTCAGTAAGTACCACCTTTCTTTATTTTCTGGCCGTGTTTTTACAAGTCCTTATTCAATTTTTTGTGTGTATCAGGGATACAGATACTAGATTTTCCTCAGACACAGACTTCTCTGAGGATCTAGATGGAAGGACTGCAAATAAAGGAAAGGTATGAAATGCACATTAGGCAACTTTGGCCAGGTTTAAGATACCTGCGGATCAGCATTGTTGAAAATGTCAAGTTAGCTTTGTGTTGAAGCTCCAGTCGTACGTCTTAGTTTTCCAGAGAACCTGCGTTTATGATTTTGTATGCTTTGTGAAGGGTGGGAAGAAGGGGAAGAAAGGTGCAGGGGAGAAAGGCAAAGGAGGAAAGGGTGCAGGCCGGATAAATGGCCACCACCAGGAAAATGGCATGGAAAACGTGATGCTGTTTGAGGTGGTAAAACTGGGCAGAAGTGCAATGCAGGTATGAATGAGAATGTTAAATAAATTGACATCTTTAAAAATCTGTTATTTTCAATAATTATATATCTTTTATTTTCTTCCAGTCTGTTGTTGATGAGTGGATTGAATCTTACAAACATGACAGGGATGTTGCACTGCTAGATCTCATCAACTTCTTTATTCAGTGCTCAGGATGTAAAGGTTCGTTTGAGTCGCTGTACAAGTCCTCCTTTTAGCTTTTTAAAACGGTTTTAAAGTTGGTACTGTTTCTGTCCACTTGTTGTTTTTCTAACTCTTCATTGTTTATTAGGTGTGGTCACCGGAGAAATGTTTCGAAACATGCAGAACTCTGAGATCATTCGACGAATGACAGAGGAATTTGATGAGGTAACTCATTCTGCCAGAGTAATCGATAACATTTTAGATTGAATTTCATATTCTAAAAACTGTTTTACAAGAAACACAAAGTGTGTGTGTGTTTACAAAAACAGTCCATTGTAGTGGTTCTTTACTAGGGGTGCGCCGATTGCAGTTTTCTGTCTGATCACCGATTTCTAAAAAGTCTGACCTGCCGATTCCGATTTTGTTTTATACGCCACACTGTCTGGTGTTGTAAGGTCACAATGTACCTTCAATTTTCTAATATTATTTTGTTGAAAAACATACCCTTGAACAATATTGAAACAATACAAACTTGTTTTAACTGGCCATGAGCTAGTGCTCTGAAATATAAATGAAATTCAGATAATTGTTGTTAAAACTAAAAAATCGGTGTCTCATGCAAGTATCGTCCAATTTTCCAAAATTAAAGAAATCGGGGCTGATTTATCAGTGCACCCCTATTCTTTACAGTTTTATGTGATGACATTCCTCATTCTGTTTCCTCTGTAGGACAGCGGCGATTATCCTCTAACCATAGCCGGGCCACAGTGGAAGAAGTTCAAAACAAGCTTTTGTGAATTCATTTCAGTGCTCGTTCGCCAGTGTCAATACAGTATCATTTATGATGAGTACATGATGGACACTGTCATCTCTCTTCTTACTGGACTATCAGACTCCCAAGTTCGAGCTTTCAGACACACCTCAACACTGGCAGGTAGGAGGAATTATTCCCATCAACTGTAACTGTTAATCTGTGAGAGTGACATATTCTAAGGTTTGACCAGTGAACAGATTTATTGAAAGGAATCTTGCTAGTCCTATTGTTTAATTTTATAAACTATTTAATCTTTTTGGAGGCTGAAAGTGCCTCCAAAAGCAGTTACTGTGAGCATTTTTATGATGGCTATGTTGCTGAGATTAGAGCCTGATCAATATGGAAATTTTGGCTATCACCAGTACCGATATTGGAAGGATGAGGCGACTGCCGACAACCAGTATAATGGCTGAAAATTTTTTTCTTTGTCCATCCCCAAGAATCTTACGAAAACAGCGAGTGGAGCGGGGCTTGTTTATTTATCACAGCTGTTAGCAACCATGAAGCTAAGCTAATCAGATCCACGCTATACGTAGTCCCACATAAGGTTTACAAGTGGTGCACTGGTCATAAAACCAGTCTTCCTAACGTGCATTCACATTTTCTATCCTCCACTATTCACCATAAAGTTATCAAGTGTGTTACAAAAATATAAATTAAACAAAGAAATGCCCTTCCATGTTCATTGTTTAAATATTCAGTCACATATGGTGAAGGTCTAATTAGTATTGACCACAGCCGCAGGTTTTAATTTTTTTTTTGCAAAGAAATAAAGATTTCAGACAAACAATGCATTTCATTGAGGACGACAACAAGAATGTTACCAACACAGATTTATTTACCTCTTACCGCTAAAGTTTTACAAGGTCTATGCTAGGCTATCTAAATGTTAGCTTGCTAACTTGAAAGGCACGTAGCTAATGACAAGTGGTTTGGAGGATTGAAGAGAATTTATGTATTTATTTGTTGTTATTTTACAGATCAGTTAAAATAAACTTACCATGCTCTGTTCAGCAAAATAAGCTACGCAGTATGTAGTTGCTCCCTGCTTGAACTTCGCTGAAAGTGAAACTTAAAAGTGAACGGCCATGACTTGAAAGGAGTCTGCATGCGCTCTCTGCTGGATACATTGTTACCAGGATTTTAGGAGTGAAAATTAGAAGTGTTTATATTGGCACATAATGGGACAGTTATTACTGATAGATCCCCAAACACCTATATTGGCCCTACCGATATATCGCTCGGGCTCTAATTGAGACTATGGAAGTTGTAGAATAAAAGCAGCTATCAAAAACGTAACTTAAAACAGAAGTACTTGCATTGACCTTTACATTTGTTTTCTCTGTATGGATCCTAATATTTTTGTTTTATCAGATAGCTGATGATTCTTTAATACTGCCTGTACATAAAGTATTCAAGGTTCATGTGAAATATGAAGGTGGATGCACTCATTAAAACAAAATGCCAGACACCTGCTTGATGCAGATCATTTGTTCATTGACTTCAAGTTAAAAGAATGCAGATCTGTTTTGACATTGTACATTTAATAAAAGTTTTGTAGCTGAACTGGTGTGTGGTGTTACAGTACTTGTGTTCAACTCCAATGTTTTTGATATTCTCATGTTTTGTTGTTTAGTGGGTTAAAGTGGTTTAACATTTATTTAAGATTAAATTAATCTCCACTCTTAAAATGTTCACATAAAGCAGTTAAAGTTAACATTCATTCAAAATGTGGTCATTTTTGTATGAATAAATCTAAACACAAGTTCTGCCTTTAAGAATAAGAATGTGTTGAGTTTTTTGTCTTAATGTTACTGGTTGTTTCCCGACTAGCCATGAAGCTGATGACAGCCCTGGTGAATGTAGCTCTAAACCTGAGCATTAACATGGATAACACCCAGCGCCAGTATGAGGCAGAGAGGAATAAGATTGTTGCTAAAAGGGCAAATGACAGGCTGGAGCTGCTCCTGCAAAAACGCAAAGAGGTAAGCAAGGCTAAACTTTTGTTGTTGATTTTTTATTTTTTTATTTGAAACGCGTTTTGCCCGAGCTTGTATTTAGCATTTGAACCTTTACAATTTTATGGTTCATCTAAACAGTTTTCCTTTGGTTTTATTTTATTGTATCGTAAATGTACATTAAAGTAAGAGGAAGCTTCTTGTTATTTGAATAAAAGGACATATGTTTACAGGAAAAAAAATTCTATTTGAATTATTGTGAACTGATTGGTTGGGGCGGCTGTGGATCAGTGGTTAGAGCAGTTGTCCTCCACTGCAGGAGTTGGGGATTCGATTCCACCAGCAGTCAAATGCTGATGTGTTCTTGAGCAAGACACTGAATCCCCTATTGCCTCTGATGCGTGTCCCATCAGTGTATGAATGTGATAAAGCTCTGATTATTCTTTGTACAGACATAGTAGAGTGTTGTATGAATGGGAAAATGAGGACACAGATTGTAGCGTGAAGCACTTTTTGAGTATCTCGATAAGATAGAGGTGCTATACAAGTACAGTCCATTTACCATGATTGGTTGATACCAAGAACAAGGTGTTTGTGAGCTGCTGATGACATGTGTGAGTCTACAGTCTGTATGAATATGACAGTCTTTACTAGCCTTATAGGATTTAAAAAAATGTTGCTTTGCATTGTGTTTTTATATAGAAATGATGTATGGCAACAATGGCTAGATTTTGATGACTTCCCCTCATGATACATGTATGTGTTTGTGTGCTCAGTGAAGTAACAATAACGGGAGAGTTTTGACTATTTTTTGTTGCTACAGCAATTTAAGTGCTACTATTTTGGAGTCTGACCAGAAATATTTTTGTTCCCTTGATGAGCAGTTGGCAACTTCACTACTTCTTCTCAGAGTTGAGAAAGGATCCTTTTAGCAATGTTACAAGTTTGTGACATCAAATTTGCTAGAATCCTATTCTTATATAAAACATGAGTGTCTTGAGACATTTATGAGTAAAAGTAATGCTTCATTGTGTTTTTAGTGTTCCCAAAACACCCACAGTTACTTTGACTAGTACTATGCATTTAATATGCATTTTAACGTGTGGAGAATTGATTTAATTTAATTTGTTGTTGATTAATGGTTTTTATCAAAGGACAGAAAGGTATAAACTGCCAATAACAATGAATTAATTATCTGGCTTCTAGCTATTAAGGCACCATGTCAGATTTTTACCTGTTGCGCTTTGTTTGTAACTCAGCATGTGGCATGAGTTTTGTTCATATGTCTGAGCTTTTCAATAAGAGTTTTCTAAACATGGCCTGACCTACTGTGTTGTGTTAAGTAGGTTTATTGGAGAAAACCTATCATCATTAAAGCGCTAAGCAGTAACACCAGCACACAAGCTTTTAAGTGGAGATAGATTTAACCAGGTTTCCAATTCCATTTCATCTGATTATTTTACAATTTTTGGAAAACGTGGATTAAATTTTAT